ACACTCAAACTCTCCACCACCGTTGCTTTCTCCCCTCTTCCCCCCGCTCTAATCCAGCCGTCTCGTGACTCTGCCCCATTCGATAGGTGGTGGCGAGGGTGAACGTCTTTCTAGAGATCGATATGGTGGTGGGTTTGCTGTAAAAAAGTGGTGGGGTTTTCTCCTTTGGTGGTGCGACCCGCAAAAGTCCTCTTCTAGGATGGCAGCCATTACACATAGGCGGTGGGTAGCGTTTCGGCCATGTGGACGGTGGCAACTAGGGTCAATCTCTTTCCAGATATCGATATGGGGTTGGGCCCGCTACCAAAAGAGTGTTGTGGTTTTCTTCTTTGGTGTTGTAGTGATACGCGAAAGTCCTCTTCTAGGGCGACAACCATTGGCACAAAGGTGGTGTGAAGCATTTCGGCCGCGTGGATAGTGGCGGCGAGGGTCGGTCTCCTTTTAGAGATCAAGATGGTGCTGGGCCCGCTAGCAGAAGAGTGGTGGGTTTTTCTTCTCTGGTGGTTTAGCGACCTACAAAAGTCCTCTCCTAGGCCCACATCAATTTGCACACATGCGGTGGGCATTGTTTTACCATGTGGACAATCGAGGTGAGGGTCAATCTTCTTCCATAGATTGAGATGGTGGTGGGCCCACTACCAAAGACCGGTGGAGTTTTCTTCCCTGGTGGTGTAACAACGCACTAAAGTCTTCTTGTAGGGCGGCAGGCATTGGCACACAGACGGGTGGGCAACTTTTGAGCCATGCGGATGGTGGGGCGTCACATAATTGTGTCATGGTAACAACCAGTGTGGATAATAGGGGTGTCATAGGTGGCAGTTCGACAGCGGCTCTCGAGCATGCTATGTCAAACCATTATTATCTCTTCACTCACCGGAACCAATGGATATAATTCAACGCTTACCATGTAGGTTAGCCATGTTTGCTAACCATCACTATACATTAGTGAAATCTTCCATGCTACATGGAAACATTTTTTTGATTTTAAGAACCATTACTACAAGGTAGTCGTTAACCATGTTAAGATAATTTTGTGCACAAAAACGATCTTCTTTGGAAGGACCGCTGGCTTACGGATAAGGTGACGCTTTGTCCGAGTAGGAATGACTAAGTATAGCGTGACTGCATAATGCATGGCAATGATTTGTGACTATCATTGTAGACTCTTAGTCGTGTCGCTGGAGCATGCACGCTGCAATCAAGTAGTGGTGATTTGTCTTCTCCCCAGTTCATCGACAAGGCCCGGACTGTTGAATGTCTGATGACATAATTAGGTTAAATGTCGACATTGTTTTTTTAAGATCTAGGATGATTAGTACATGATCTAGAGGACTTTTCGCGGTGGCATGTGAGGACCATCTTCAATGGACATCCTGGCAGATTCAGACAAAGTCACGGGTGACGCAACTCTTTGACGACAATGGCGCAATCGCGTAGCTTGTTGAAGGTTTGGCGTGAAAGAATGGTGACATTTCATAGGTTCCTTTTTTTCACCTTTGTCATGGATATGTCATTTGTTATCCACTCCATGTACGCATGATGCTCTGACCTCGTTGTCTTGCATGTATCTTCTATATTTAAATTGCTAGCTCTCTACTAACATATTTCTATTAACATACACATATGCCATCTCAGCGTGCAAACATGCATGAAAAATGCCAATCTCAACATGTAAATACGCAGTCACTTCAGTGTCATCCGATAAAAACAAGCAAATATGCATGAGAAAAGACTCAACTCGATAATTAAATATGGTAAATCATATGTATTTCAAACTCCAGTTCTTATATTTTAATTTAATTAATATTTCACACAACTAAATCTATTAAAAATGTCATATTTGAAATTTGACTTCTTATTTTATCAACTCAATAATTAAACATAGTAAACCATGTGTATTTCAAATTTAAGTTCTCACATCATAATTTAAATTTTCTATTTCATACAATTAAATTAACTTAAAACTTTTGTTCCATACAAATAAATCAATCAAAATACATTCCCATCAGTTTTCACTGTGACACGTGGGGTATCATCTAGTTTGTAATAAAACCATAGATGCATCTAAGAATGCAAGGATAAGGAAAAATAAGAAGTTTCCGCCAAATAAAAAAGAAAATTAAGAAGAAAAGGAAAACATAACAAGAGGGGAGGAGCAGTGGGCGCTAAATAAAGAAAAGGGGACGGCCCATGTGGCCAGGTTTGGGCGCTAGGGTTTGCAGCAGACGGGCAGAGAGGAGGTCCGTCCGTAGCAAAGCCCCAACGGCCACCGTGTGTTGTTTGTTGGAGAGGCACTAGTCTGTTCCCTCCGCCGCCGCCGAGCCAGTCCATTCCCCTTCTTCCCACTCCCACTCCCCCCACTTCTTCTTCCGCCATCTATCTTGCCGGAGGGCACTCCGTCTCCGTCTCGTGTTTGTTCGTGAATCCGGTTCCGACTACAACCTGATTCTTGGACCTCACCCCTCCTCTCATCTCAGTAAATACCAGTAGCACTCCTTCCTAGGAGTACGCCTGTGTGAGATACCACAAGATCCACCATGTCGCTCAAACCCTATCGCGAAGAATCACTTCGTCCGCCGGCCACGGAAGATGTGGCGGCGGCGACAAAGTGGGATTGGGCGGAAGTCCTCCTCGACCACGTCGCGTACATGGTCGACAAGAAAAACCACACTTCTGCCCACTGTCGATTCACCAGGAACCTGGACGGCAAGGAGGTGGACGTGCAGGTCACATTCTGCTTCGCCCAGCCGCCTCGCGTCTCCCATTTCTGCTGCCACGCCTTTTTCCCCGACGACCACGGCGAAGAAGACGCCTGCTTGTTCTTCCGCGGGCCTTACGTGCTCGCCACGGACGGTAACCTCGCCCTCATCACCCTCTGCATCGGGCTCGGCCGTCCCTCCCCCTTCGACACCAAGAAGAGCAAATACGAATACCTCGTCTACAAGGCAGCATCCTCACCAGCGGGGGAGCCGGAGCTCACCCGGCTCACGAAGTTCCCTCCCGAAATGTTGCCGACTACGGGATGCGACCGCATCCCTTCCAGTGCAATCGGTGTCGTGCGGTACCACAGCAACATTTCCACCCATGCTCACCCCTCCGTCGCCGCCAATTCAGACGCTCTCACCAAGGATGATGCTTGTGATGCCTACAGAGTCGCAGCTCTTGCCTACGACTAAACCCGGGCATGGGCAGCCCGGCCCGACGACCCGGCCCGAGCCCGGCCCAAAAAACCCGGGCCGGGCCGGGCCGGGCTTGACACTCGGGCCGGGCTCGGGCTTTGTTTTGCAGCCCGAAAGGTAGTTCGGGCCGGGCTCGGGCTTCTCTTTTTCTCTTTTTCGGGCCGGGCTTTCGGGCTTCGGGCCGGGCTTGCACGTACACGTACTAAAAAACACAGTTCGGGCCGGGCTTTCGGGCTTCGGGCTTGAGTTCGGGTCGGGCTCGGGCTTGAAATCAGGGAGTATTTCGGGCTTCGGGCCGGACTCGGGCTTGAGAAATGAAGGTCGGGCTTTTACAAGCCCGGCCCGAAACCCGGCCCGGCCCGACGTTTGCCCAGGTTTACCTACGACTACTTCCACGACTCTAGCAATAGCCCATATGGTCCATACTACCTGTGCACCTACGACTCCAAGGACAAGGTTTGGATCCGCAAGCCAGCTGCTATTCCACAGCCGCCGCTGCCATCCGACTGTATATGCGACATCGACATGGTCATTGCCATCGGAGGTGGCATCATGGGCTGGGTCGACCTCTGGAATGGCATGCTCCTCTCTGACGTGCTCGCAGACCACACACCCTTCAGACCGCTCCGCTATGTCTCCCTTCCAAAGCCGACGCAGCCGCCAAATTGGCTGCCTCTTGCCGTTGACATTGGATGCAACTTTCGGGACATTGTCCTTGTCAAAGAGACTGGCATCATCAGGTTCGTCGACCTACAGGTCCACGCCGACCCCAGCATCCCTTGCTCACAAACCCCTTGTGGCTGGACGGTGCTCACGTGGACCTTGGAGGGGTTCCACGAGGGTTTGGATTTGGAAACCCTGGGTGATTTGCATTTCCAGCCGGAGCTCGAACTCCATTCTAGTGATATCTCTGGCTACAACTTGCCCCAGTCTCTCTTTGTCTCCAACCCCATTCTCAGCTCCAACACAGATGGCGTCTTGTACCTCAGGACAAATGTGAGCAGTGCAACTAACAGGAACTCGCGGGTGATCGCAGTTGACATCAAGCAAAAGCTGCTGCTGGATGTGCAGGAATTTGATATGCAAAGACCCAACAACTACATATGTACTGGCGTCTCCAGCTATCTCAAGCCTCCAAGTACCGTACCATCGCCTCCCCGTTAATGGTAAATATGCATCGGTATGCCTCCTTGTTCAAATTCGTTTGAGATGTAGACCATGACATGAGTTGTAGTTTCATCATCCGAGGACAATCTGATGATTCAAAACTGGCGCATTTAACTTGGCGGCCATAAGATTCCCTGTTAACAAATTTCCTTTTCTTAATGGATGTTACTACTACATCTACTAACCCAGGTCGGTGTTAAAAAAAAACCCTACTCCAGGCCGCTCCAATGTTTATATAGCACTAAAACATGGTTAGCACATTCCCCACCCACCACGCCGCTAATTACTCTTACCCTCGCATCGCACGGCCTCCCATGCCTCAAACCGCCCCATCGCGTTCCCCGGTGCCTCTCAGCCCCCACTCCTTCCCCGACGCTGATCCACCACCCCTGCGCCTCCAAACCGTGCCATGCTAGCACATTGCCGGAAAAAATTGGAATCCTTGTGCACCACTCACCGCCCCTTGGTCATCTGCCACCACAAGGGTCTGCGCCGCTTCGACTCCGGCTGTCTGATGCACAGAACCACGAGCCCCCGCTACTGATGCGCCCTGTCCTATCTCTTAGTGCTGTCGACGTGCCGATGCCAAGGCTGGGGCGGCCGCCGACGCGCCTGTCTTCTCGGCGTTGCCCAAGCCTGTGACGGACTGGCGCCATGGCCGCTGCAACTCTCCCTATTGCATCGTTGAGGTCACCAATCACAAATCAATCAGGTGAACCTTTAATACTGCACTTTGGGCTGGGTCGGATCTTTTTGGTCTGCAATTTCGTCTACCAGCCAATCATTCTTCGGTTACTAGAAACATTTTTTTAGGCAAGAAGAAAGTACTATCCCAGTTCGTCCTATGTGTGTTCTCTAGCCCTCATTCAGATTGCTTGATTGAACAAGAATCAGTTCCTATTTCTGGTGGACAGACAGATCAGTGTACTAGCAGATTACTAGCAGACGTAACTGTTGCTAGAACAAGAATGCAGTGCCCATTTACCTTCAGGTTTTACCTCCCTTTTTTTGTTGTGTTTTGCTGGTTGTATGTTTTGCTCCAATTTGGCATTCTCCTTAGCACAAAACAACACGCAATTGGGTGCTTGTTCAAACAACACTTCTTTTGTAGAATTGAAAGCTGCTTGAAATGCACACCAAAATATTGATTATCTTATCATGTGATCTGGAGCATGAAAATTATTCCAATATACTGCTAGATGAGGAAATGAGACATATTGTAAGAATGTGTTTGTTTATATCTGTATAGTTACAATGAGATTCATGTTTAGACCAAGGCAAATTTAGAATTTCATCACATGCACAAGTTTGACAGGCTGAGAAATTTGAATTCACTAACCCTCATAAAAGTGTCTGTTCAGTGGGCCTCGTAGCTTAATGGAGTTTTTTCTCTGGAAACACTTGTTAATATTTGATCCTTGATAGTGATGTTATTTTCTTCCTATGTTGGACATGTCAGAAAAGCTTTTTAGACAAGAAACATTATCACTGTCTGATATAGTTACAAATAAATCTTTACCAAAATACATTTTTTCTTGTAGGTACCACTAGCTAATGGCAATGGTTTGCTCTGCTTGTAGCTGAGATGCCAATATTTTGTTTTTTTTCTTACCCCATAGATTTGTCACCTACAATTAGGGCCCACATGGATTGCCGTTTCACGAATGTATTAAAAGGGGCACTTGTAAAATCCAGGCGGAAAGGAAACAAGAGTGAAAGGCATGATATTTTCCCCCGGTGGATCTGAACAAAGCTGCCCATTTTTTTTGGATCTGAACGACCAACCAAGTAGTTGTTTCCCAGCCACACCTAATAATTTTACAGGTGTACATCTTATGCTTGGAAATTGCTGCAAAACAGTAATCCAAGCGTGGCCTTAGGTAAATATTGTGTTGCACATTGCCCAGCATTAATATACCTCTATATGTCTTACAAATATAAGACTGTTTTATTGATCAGTCTTGCACCTAATGGGACAGGTCAAGGAGGAGGAAAAGGAGGCAGAGGCGCCTAAAGAGAAGGTTGACATGAAGAAGGTCCCAGAGCATGTCCGGGAGATGCAGGAGGCTCTTGCGAAGAGGCAGGAAGTGGAGGAAGAATAAGGTATGAGAAAAGAGGGAGAGCAGCGTTTGAGAAAGACAAGAGGAAGGCAGAGGAAGCAACGAAGAGGAAGGTAAAGGAGAAGTTGCTCAAGAAGAAGTTGGGAGGGTAAACGCCTTGTAGTTGCATTCTGAGTTGTGAGAATTTAGAAATTTCCAATGCCTTACAAGTAGGCTTTTCGTTACATTGTTTCCATGAATTATTGGATGATAGTCTTCCTGTTGGTAAGATCATGATCATACACGAAAAATATGAGATGGATACATGGAGTTCTGTGGGTAACATGAATTACATTGCCTTCTCTTTTTTCCAGCTTTTTGTTTGGAATAAATATTCAGTACAACCATTGCGCAAGTATACTGAGCAACAGATCAGCTTCTAAAGCATTCGTCAATTTTCCGTACTTAGTATAAAATAGTTCAGCCAGATTTTTTTTCTGAGGAAATTCAGTCAGATGATGATGACATGCGATTAATATCTTGTTGTTCGGGAGTGTTAGAACGGAAACTAGAAACAAGAGCGAAGACAAGTAACGGAACGGTGTCCCTTCATTCATTGATAGAGTGGTTATCTATACAAGTGCAAAGGGCGCGATTAGGGATGCGTGGGGTGTGAGTAACCATCGCGTCCGCTGCCAAAGGCAACTCAATGCGGTTCCACAAAAGCAGGGATTATCTCATTAACTAACACGTGGTTAATTAATTGTAACAGGGAGGTTTCGTCTATTTGAACGCATGCTCTATAGTAAGTTGCCATATTCAACGGTACTACAACCTCCGCTATCTTGCTTAATGGGAGACCTGGCCCGTGGCTCCCGTGTCATTGCGGGCTTAGGCAGGGTGACTCCCTCTCACCCTCCATTTCATCCTGATTGCTGACGTGCCGCAGCGCATGATCACCCAGGCCTCGGCGACTGGCATGCGTTCTCACCCTCTCGATCACACCTTGTCGTGTCCGGTCCTGCAATACGCCGATGAAACAACATTTTACGTACTTTGTATAACGGTTCAATCAGATGATGACATGCAATTAATATCTTGTTGTTTCGGGAGGTTTCGTTTATTTGAAAATTGCTGTTTTCTTGCCAATGAAGATTAGCATGCTTGTACGCATGCTCTATAGTAAGTTGCCATATTCAGATTAGTTGTTGGACTAACAGGACGATGAACTGCTCAAAGATAGCGATGATTCCTTGAGTCTATTATAAATGCCATTTTATTTTGATGTCTTTTTTTATGACAATAATTGAGAAATAAAGAAGCATTCTGGTGTATCATATATTACCATACAAGCAGATTTTTTTTATTATATTTAGACATTTCCTTTATGGTAGACATTTGTATTGTTTAACAATATATTTTTGATCTGGACTTAATTTAGGCATGCAAAGTGGGGACTTGCATGTCTGTCCACTCTAATCTGACTGTGAAGTTTTGATTTTGATATTCTTCTCTTCCTCTACTAGACTTATAATGCAAAATTACATTTGAATACATTCATTGAGTTTTGCCAAATTACCTATTGAAAGATCGTGGAAGTCGCCTAGGAGAGGGGTGGGGGGTGGGGGGTGGGGGTGAGTAGGGTTTTAAAATAATTACGGTTGAGACTTGAACAAATGCAAAATAAAACTAATGTTTAATTTGTCAAGCACAAAACCTAAATCAACTAGGCTCACCTATGTGGACCAACAACTTATGCTAAGCAAGATAAACAACTAAGCGATATCAAGATATATAACCGAGGCTTGCGAAGATGATGATGTATCCCAAAGTTCACACCCTTGCGGATGCTAATCTCCATTTGGAGCGGTGTGGAGGCACAATGCTTCCCAAAAAGCCACTAGGGCCATCGTAATCTCCTCACGTCCTCTCACAATGCAAGATGCCGTGATTCCACTAAGGGACCCTTGAGGGCGGTCACCAAACTTGTACAATTGGCAACCCTTGGGAGCGGTCACCGAGTCCGTACATTTTGGCAACCCTTGGAGGTGATCATCGGAACCCGTACAAATTGCTCGAGGCAATCTCCACAACTTAATTGGAGACCCCGACGCTTGTCCCGGAGCTTTCCACCATAATGATTGAGCTCCACGACACCAACCGTCTAGGGCACCAAGGCACCCAAGAGGAACAAGCTCTAGGGTGCCCAACCACCAAAGAGTAATAAGCTTCTCAACTTTTCACTTCCACGTACCACCATGGAGAACTCAAATCGATGCAACTAATGCAATGGCAAGAACCCACAAAGTGGTCAAGTCCCTCACTCCCAAATCCCACCAAAGCAACGAAAACTATGAAGGAATATGGGAGGTTCCCCTCACATAGAGGAGAAAGTGATTGGTGGAAACATAGATCCAGATCTCCTCCCTCTTTTCCCTCAAGAACTAGCAAGAATCATTGAAGGGATTGAGAGATAGCAAGCTCGAAGGTCAACAATAGGGGGCAAACACAAGCTCAAAGGATAAGGTCCATTGGGAAAGAAGACCCCCTTTTATAGGCGGGGAAAAAATCCAACCATTATGTGCAGCCTGCAGTAAAGCGGTACTACCGCTTAAACAAAACAAATAGCAGAAACATGCACAGAGAATATTTCCCAAGCGGTAGTCCACAGAGGAAGTACTGCAAGCGGTACTACCGTTATATTACCACTTAAAGAAATCAGGCAACCAAAAGTTGCACAGAACGAGATTCCCAAGCGGTACACGTTGCGGTAGACCACAATGGAAGTACCGCCTAAGCAGTACTACAGCTTGGGTGCAAAAAACTTGCCCAAATAAACAGATGGAAATCCCAACACTAACACTGCCAAAACCTCTACAAATGGACTCTGATTTAGACGAACTCAAGCTTGATAGAAAGCTAACGATAAAGGCTGTCGAATCACGAGTGGAAATCTTCAGAAGTGGCAAGAGAGATATGCCTATGATATAGAGGTGTGAAAGCTCCATCAGTGAAGATCCGACATAAACTCCAACATAGTAAACACAAGAGATGCATACGGAATCCGTTCTAGATGAACTTGAGCTTGTCATGAAGACGACCATAAGCTCAAAAACTCACATAGAGAAAAACAAACAAGAACCACAAAAGATGATGCAAGGATGCAATGGTTTGAACTCTCTACGAATGATACGACCAAGCTACTTACTTGAGAGCGCCCCTTGATAGAATGGCAATCGATCCTATAACCCAGTCTCCCAACTACCACCATGAGACCGGCGAAATAGAAAACCTATCAAGGGCATACCTTTGTCTTGCACATAGTCCACTTGAGCTAGATAATGACGATCTTGACTTCCTCAAGTTGGACCATCTTTCTTGATTGTGTTGGCTCGGTGAAGACTAGTTGATTGCCCCCCATACTTCACTATGGCTGAGCCACTCTTTGGCACATCTTCACAAGCCCATTGTCACCACAATGGACGACAAGCTTCAGGCATGATCTCTTCGTGATGCTCCACTTGAACTTGCACACCGTAATCTTGATGAGGATCACTACTTGATGTCATTCTCCATGGGTTATATGATATATTCCTTTTGATGCATGCCATTAAAACATACCTAAGAGCATCTCCAACAGGAGCACGGTATTAGCGTTGCGCTCGAAAATAGTCTTTTTTGCGCTTGCAACCGTTTCGGGGCTCCAGCGGAGACGCAAAAAACGCGCGCGCGACATAATTGGTTCAGCGCGTGGAGCGAAACGGCATCGCGTGCCGCTTATTTGGTGTGCCCGCTCCCACGCGCTGCACACTCGAGTGCCCGCGCTGCGACTTCCACCTACCGCCATATCCAGGCGCTGCCGCCCGCACCTCCTCGTTTGCTCCAGCGACTCGACGACGCTTCCCCGGCCTATCCCTGCACCGCCGCCGCTTCCTCCACCTCCCTCTAGTCGCCCCCGCCCCTCGAGTGCGCCTTTCCTTCGACAAAACACTTGCAAGGTATGTATTGCTTGAACTTCACATTTTTTTACATGAATTTGGTGCATCTTGTTTGTAGTTTTTATAGCCTAGTTTAAATTCAATATTTTAGATGAGTTCGTCATATGATTCTTCCGTTGAAGAATTTGATATTAAAGAGGAGGAGGACCTTGCAATGATCCTAGCTATGCACATCAATAAAAAGCCGAAGCATGGTGGTTCGGTTATGGGTCGGCAGAAAATTTGGAGGGATAAGATCGATGCCAACAACAGATTGATGAGGCACTATTTTGTGGATAATCCCGTATACCCTGAGTCGTACTTATGGCGCCGTTTTAGGATGAGCACCAAGTTGTTCTGGCACATTGTAGAGAAATTGGCAAGCCATGATCGGTTTTTTCAGCAAAGGAGGAATGCCGCGGGAGAACTCGGGCATAACACCTTGCGAAAGGTGACAGCCTCTTTGCGTATGTTGGCATACAATATTCCGGCTGATCTAGTTGATGACCAATTGGCCATGAGTGAGAGTCAGTCCATCATGTGTGTCAAGCGCTTCGCGGTCGGAATTGTGCAAGTGTTTGGTCTGGAGTATTTGAGAGCTCCCAATGTTTAAGACGCTGCAAGGCTTTTGGAGATGAACAAAGCTCGCGGGTTCCTAGGGATGCTTGGATTAATAGATTGCATGCATTGGAGTTGGAAGAACTGTCCAAAGGCATGGCATGGACAATTTCACGGCCATAAAAAGGGTTCTACTATAATCCTTGAAGCGGTGGCCGATCAAGAGACTTGGATTTTTCATGCTTTTTTGAAATGCCTGGATCTTTGAATGACATCAACGTTGTTAATCGGTCACCATTCATGAATAAGATTGCAAATGGTGAACTGCCACCGTGCAGTTTGTAACAAATGGCCATACATACAACTATGGCTACTATCTTGCGGATGGCATCTATCCAAAGTGGCAAACATTTGTGAAGCCGTTGAAAAAACCGGAAGGTAAGAAAAATCTAGATTTCTACAACGCTCAGGCGGCGGCTAGGAAAGATGTGGAGAGAGCTTTTGGGATTTTACAAGCCCAATTTGCTA